AGGATAAGGTTATCTAGGTAATATAGTACTTGGGAGGTAACCCTAGGGAGCTATGGTATATATATTATAAGCGTACCTTTAAAATAGAGGAAGAAACTATTATAAACTAAAAGGTAGAAGGGTGGAACGGGCGCTTATAAAGGTACGAGGATGTAGTGGTAGGATTATAACGAGATAAAGAGCCGCCAAGCAACTTAGATAGTATTTAGGTAACCTACTTAGCTACTTAGAAGCCCTAAGCAGCCAAGTAGCCAAGATAGGTCACATGACCTACTTAGCTGCTTAGGAGCCCTAAGTAGCTGAGTAGACATTCTATATAGGAGCACGTATATGAACTCTTATACTTATATTTAACCTATTTATTAATCTATTATTTAGATTACACTTAGGCTATATTATTAACTTATTATATCTCCTCTAATACTATCGTCTTGACTAAACCCCTTCCCTTCCCTCAGTTGTCTTGCCTAAGAACCAACCCTAACCTTTAGGACTAGCTACCCTTCTGGATTTAATAGTATTATTATATAAGGTCTAGCTATAGGCAATAGTGTTTACTTTACGCTAGGATAGATAGTGAAAGGATAACTTAATAGCATTAAGTGAATAATACTTAACTTCCCTAAAGCTAGTGTGTAGCGTGGAGTATACGTAGCCAACTTACTTAGCATACTAGGACTCTATTAGGCCTTAGCGCCATATGCCACAACACTATAACGAACTTTGCGATCTACTCGTTACACCTATCTCCATTACTTGCCTGTGAATGCTAATAATTTAGCTAATGAAATAATTAAAATACCTTTTAAGCTAACCTAATTTAGCCTAAAGTTAAGATGGCTGTACTAAAGTCTATATGTAATAGTTTGTTCCTCACTACGTTGGTGATGAACAATAATATTAATAATAATATAGATGTATACTAGTGGAGAGGAACCTAATACGGGTATATTATCTAGAAAACCATCCCTTTCGTCTGCTTACCGGTCTCCTCTTCTACCTTCCTAACATTTATGTTCTTCCAAAACCAGATAGATGCGATACATAGCGGAATAAAGCAGGTACCAGCAATGACCATGAGACGCTCAGTATGCGCAAAGGCACCTACAACAGCATCGCGCTCAGGCGTCCCATCAGCAAAGCTCATCTGCACTAAAATATCACCGAAAATCTCCATAGTCCGATTCTTGGAGTCTTCGGGCAAGCGTTTATGTAGCTGCTTCGGAAGTATACTGGTCCAGAGGGCGCCTGAAATGGAAAACCCGATCGAAGAGCCAAAGCCTCCAAAAAGTCCCCAGAGCGCGTTGACCACGGCAATCTGCTGGTGGGTTACAGGCGCCATAACAGCTAGTTGACCGCACGTCGCGAATATCCCCGTCCCAAGACCAACGAGTATCTGCATGAAAGCGAGAACACCGGGGTTTGTACTTGGCGAACGCAACGGAATAAGCAATCCGGTACCTAGGAGAGTGATCGGGACACCAGTCATTGCAATCCATTTGAAGTTACCAGTGCCACTGATAAGCCATCCGATGAGGGGCCCAAATACCGATGAGGTGAGCGAGAAGGAATTGAGGACGTAATTTGCGTTCTCGATAGACAGACGATGGACAACTTGTAAGTATGTACCATAATACCCATTCCAGCAAAATACCGACAGGAACATGACTCCGTACAGGACGCAAGAGCCGACGATGGTGGGATCCTTGAGGTACATCCATGGCAGGAATGGGACCGGTGCCACGTAACGCTCATATACGACGAAGGTGGGAAATAAGAGGACGCCCTGCACGATCATTGCGATGATGTAGCCGGTTTTCCATCCATTAGGCGCATAGTTTGTGAGAGTGAATGGGAGCATGAATAGGCAGAACGCGAACATAAGAAGCAGGATTCCAAAGACTGAGTACGTTAGTGAGAGTGCTTCTTGTGGTTGTACCATACATACTGTCGAACTCCACGAAGTAGAATGCAAGCGATTGCAACACGTTGCGGCCCGACCGTTCTCTTCGGGCTAAACCAGCTCGGCGAGCTTTACGGTACATGAATACCATGACTCCCATAGCTGGTAGACTGCAAACAACCAATATAATCGCGAAAGCACCAAATGCCCATCGGAAGTTGACGTATCTTAAAAAGGCTGCCGCCACGCGGGGTGCAGTAAAAGTAGCGACAATACGGGGGGTCCCCATGATCCCGAAGATTATCATACGATTCTTCAGTGATGTCATGTCGGCGCACATAACATCGACCACGTAGATAACCCCGATATGACCAGTCCAGTACAGTACATGAGCTGCGATGTATGTCTCCATGTTTTGGCAGACGGCTTTCATGATCATGCCGACGACAGAGACAACAAGCATGAACACAAAACCCTCTACCCGCCCCCAAATATCGATAGCTTTGGCTGTTGCAAGAGGAATGCAACCCCCTAACGCGGTAGATATAACGTTACCAACGTTGAGCAGCCCGTGCTTATCAAAGGATGATGTTATGTAGGGGTTAAGAGCCGAATCGACGTAATTCTGAAACATGTCGATGAAGTGGATGAGATACAGTCTAGAATCTATTAGCTTCTTCGGGGGCTTGTCTGTGGGGTCATATCAGCGTACAGGATGAACATGCTGATGAGTGTGGTTTTGCTCCATATGGCTGTGATTGCGCGCACGCGCTCGACGCCTTGTTGGAAGTCTTCGGACCCGTGGTCCTCTCGCACGCCACTGCTCTCAGAAGGCGTGATGTCGGAATGACCACTCTTTTCAATGTCTACTATGGGTGGGACGCGTCTAACGGTAGCCGTCAGCTGCGGTGCTTCAACCGTGAGGCTCATGGTGAACGAATATGATTGCTGTCGATTGACTCTGCAGGGTGAAGACGAAGTTCAGAGGTGCGACGTGAGGGAAACGAGTTCGTTCAACATGCCTATATATGCGTCCAACCAAATGTCCGTCCACACGAATACGACAAGAACGTATGAAAATTTTTGCACCTAGAACATCCGTAAGCGGGGGCCAAGGAATCAAAGAATAACCCTTCTATAGGCTCGCTCCTTGGGTCTGTTGAGACTTCGACATCGTGGTGTGCCCAGGAAGATCTATGATCTGATAAGATGCGCTGCCGAGAGACTGCTGAAATTGATTGATCAGATAAGAACCATCTCCGCGCGTCGTCCCAATCAAGGCGCTTACAAAACTGGGGCGCGCATGTGCTCGTGCGGGCACTCAGCCGTGGCGAGCAAGCCAAGAGTGGGTCACTGCTTGGCTAGTGGAGAGGAGAAAGACACCTGCTTACCTACGGTACTCTTAACGAGAGTACAATCGATTTCATTTACCTTTAGTAATAATTACTTAGAGTTATTTACGAAAGTACTATCTTAGATAGAGTTA